TCTACACGGAGGTTCTCTATTCTGGACTCGTGACATCTCTATTCTTCGTGAGGTATTCTTCGAATAATATCTTAGACCTCTCACGATCCTCAATTGAGGGATCGTATGATACATATATAGGAATAGTATATTATGATATGTAGGTAGGAATGGTATGTCCTTCCATTTCGAGGGAGCATCGTATGTACGTATGCTTCCTTCTTAGTACGTACGTATAATTCAGATATCATACGTACGTGCGTACGTTGCACGACTGTTGTTTGATTGGATGCTCTACCGGTGGTCTCTGTCCTTGCTGGGTGGTCCACAAGGAGGTTGATCTTATCTATGTCACTCTCTTTGAATCTATCATTGAGGGTGAGRCATGATCGTGTGGAAGATTTCACCATGGTCGGTGTGGTATTTTGGTCGTTTTTCTTAAGGGTTGATTAAATTTCGATACACGAAAAATCACTTAGTAATTACTGTGCACGAGATTACGTGTACTCTTAGTAGGTGTTAAGTGTGTATGAAAATTGAAATTATAAGATTAAGATTCTCGCGCTCGGACTTGAGTTTTCAATAGCTCTGATTAGATCCTGTGTAGCTCTYKGTACTAAATCTACACAGGGTTCTTATTATTCTGATCTACTGACATCTTTGTTCCGTGCGAGGTATTCTATTTCTGATATCATGGACCTCTTACGTGTTCGGTGTTCGGTCCTCTTACGATGCATCCTATGATRCATACATAGGAAGCGTACCTTACGATAGGTACGTAGGAATGGTATGATCCTTTATTCTTTTCTTCGGAGCTTCGCATCGTATACGTACGTATCCATTGTATACGTACGTATCCGTTGCAGTGAGTCACTCACACAATATGATTGAGCTGTAGGATCAACTAATACGACTACAACTCATCTGATTAAACGGATACAATTGAGTTAAGTTTGAATCGTTTCTTTGAATTGAATCGTATGATCAAGTCATACCACTACGACTCATACAATTAAACACGTAGGTCCCAAACGGATTTCACAAACACTGGGCATTTTTGATTGGGACATGAAAGACAAAGGGGAGAAGATTCTACATCCACACTACAGGGCATACAGTAGTGCTGACAATCCAGAGTTTTTTATTTTGTTACAAGAATCTTGGGATCCATAAACAAAAGGAACAACAATTTCAATGGTAATAAGAATGGGGCTGAGAATTTGCTCAGTGAAATTTCAGTGTTGAGGACAAAGCCTTTGCTCTCCTGATGCTTTACAATGAACTTCATGTACGGGAGTCCTCCCTTATGAGAAAGAAAGAAAGGTCGGTTTAGTTGGAAGAAGAGAGACGTGGGCTTTAGAGGGGAAGTAACTGTACCACGAGTTGTGCGCTGAGATGGAGAAACTCCATAAGGACCCTCAAACAGGAGAGCTATTTGAAAAACAGACAAGAGAATGGTTCAGGGAGGAATGTAGAAAGAAGAATGGTAGAGATACTACCAACTGAATCAGAAACTAGGGTTGATGTTACCATGATGGACAACATTTATGTTTGCAAAAGGTTCAGAAACCTAACCAATGAGCTTGTAAAGTGTGCCCAAAACAATTTAACCTTTGCAACACTGGGGACTGTTGTGGAAGAAGTTTAGTATCATATGAACGCACTTGTAGAATTTATTCATCATACATGATAGTAAAATGGTTATTCATGTATTTTCTCATCTGTGAGGTAGCGATGAGGGCCCAACCATTCCATAAATTTGAAACCACATGGTAACAGAATCATTGTTCCAAAATAATGATTCCACCAGGGTTACTTGAAAGTGATACTAAGTTCTTGTGTAAATCCAGAGCTTCTATTCCAAGAGTCCCAGTTGGGGGTTACTGTCGTCATAACAGTTGAGGTTGTGTATCATGATCCCTGAAGTAAAAATAGGGAGTGGAGGATGAGGGAGTATGGGTTGAAATACTGGCAGAATAAATTTGGTGCACAGAGTGAAATGCATTGTGTCACAAAAATAATTACAAAAAGGGGGTCCTCAGTAAGTTTGATAATCTTAACTTCACCATGTTGAGTACTTGCACAAAAACTTCACGCAACCAAACCTTGCAAACACTTTTTGTGACCCATGGTGACACCACTTCCAAAGGGGAAACTCCACCTCCATGGCCTTTATGCCAACAGCAATCTGTTGATAAGATAGACCTTAGTATGCTTCCCCTGGTTCCCAGTCCTTAGTAGTCTGCTTTGGAGCTGGGATCCACATCCTATTCCTCTGGAAGTGCCTCTTTACATGTACCAGTTCAACTTACAGACTGGTGGATGAAGCTTCTGTTCACAGTGTTGTTCTTTCCAACATCCATGTCCAGCAGCAGCAACAGCAACAACAACAGCAACAGCAACACCTCAAGCCCCCACTGTCCAACCCAGTGAGACAAACACTTGGGAGTATATGCTAAATATTTAATTTCAAGATTCCTCTCCTCCAATCACCAGCTCCTGTGCTATTTGCTGACTGGAAGCCCCTGGTCAAGATGTTGTTGTTTCCAACAATCATGTGCAACAACAAGGTGGTGGTGGTGGGTCTGGGGCTGGGGCTGGTGCTAGGGCTGGCGCTGGCGCTGGTGCCAGCATTGGTGCTGGCGCGCTACTTTTAGTTAAAACAATGGTATAGTTCTATATTTGCTTCGTAAAACCTACATAGAAGCATTCAGATTGATGAAACAAAGAGGTTGTAAAGCTTCTTACTAGCATAAGATGTAAAGTAAAAATAATGGATCAACAAAAAGACAAACTCCCCACTCCCTCAAACTACCAAAAAACTATCCAATTTGTATGATTGAATTCTATGCCTATCACTATTGGCTTTTTTACTCTCTATTACCAGATCACATTGGGAATAAAAGCTGATAGTAAAAAGATGTGATCATCACTTACAACCCTGCCGTAAACTAAGATTATACTGCTGTTTTGGGTTACCTTCCCTCAAATTTGCAGGTTGGAGTATTAGTTTGAAACATAGAATAAGAATATCTCCATGATAGTATTGGAGACGGATGGGCTTTGCATCAATTATCTTCTTTCACACATGAAAATTCAAGCCCCGATGATGTACTGTAAATAGGAGGAGAGTAAAAGAACTTGGCAAGTGATTTTTATTCTGCGAACGCCAAGCTTTGGAATGGCTTTTGCCCCAAGTGAACAAAAGTCAGTGAGTACGTGCACAAATTTAGATCTCATCTATCAAAACTGAAGCTGGTTACTTTAACTGATAAGACGTATTTTGTAAGAGCCAGCAGTAATGAAAAGAGCCCAAGTTGAAGAAGCAACTCAAGTCTTCGAAGACACCTCCACCCACGGTCCATTTTGTTGATTGATTTTTGTCAAATAGAGCAAACTATTGTACAGCTTATGCGGCTCAGTTCCTTTCCTGGTTCGCTAGATTTGCTCATAATTAATTATTTGCCTCATCCAGGTCATTACGGAAGGTGAATTTACTCGCCATTCAAGGTTTAGATCGGTTACATCCCAGACTTGAATGAAAGAAGTCTCCATCGCAAAATTGCAATTCACAGGTGGATACATGATCGACATCTTTGTTTCACTTTCTCTTCAATCCGCCATTACAGCGGAGAAATGTTTTCAAAGAATTATGAGTGGTCGCTGCTGTAATTTAGGACGAAAAGGTCGACCGTCCTGATGTTTCTTCTTCACAAGAGAATCCTGCCTGTCGCGTGATTTCATCAAAAATGTCATCATACTTGTTTCGTTTCTTCCATAAGCATTTACCATTGTGACATATTGATTTTAATTCTTCAATTGCCAAGCAATTGTTTTTGCGTCGACTACCCATACCTACTTTTTTACTTACAGCACCATTACCGTCGCTTGCGAAGCCAGAAATTTGTTTATCCCTATCATCACATTCATTACCAGCTTCGTCATTCTTATTGAGTTGAATCGTTGCGTTTCGGGCTAGTAGAAGAGCCTTCTGAAGTGACCATTGACCAAACGGCTCCCAACCGTTTCGGATTCCATTTCGTTCAATTTTTTCTTTTCGTAGATGAGAATGGTGTGGACAGCCAAACATCCTGACAACTCTCACTGTCCTCCTTTTTTCGCTGCTACTAGTTGTTGAATTGTCATTGATAGCGTTGGCATCATTTTCGTCGCCGTTCAAAGTATCGATGGTGAAGAGAAACGGGGAGTATTTCTTCTTACAAACTTGAATGCCTATCGTCTCTCTTCCACCCCATGGGCGTCCATTACTTCCGATCTCTCCCCATTTTTCATTGATCGACTGAATCGCTTTGCCTTGGTCAGTGTCAGAAGCGGCACTTTTCATAAACATACTACCACCATATAGCTCACCCCCAGTTCCCACAGGATAACCTTCAAAACGAAAGAAAATAACATAAGGTTCATGACTTGTTGAAACGGAAATCAAACGAAAAAAAAAAAAATTGAATCAACCAAAATCATACCCACCACATACGAACCCAAGGGGTACCCTGTAATTTACGTTGGTTGAGTTAGACTTGCAATTGTTAGCAAAAAAGGATCGAAAAGGGAAAAACACCGTCTGTCACTGAAAAAGAATGTGAAAATGGCATGAAATTTAGAGTTGAATGTGAAACCTACCTCCCTGGAATAGCCGATGCGGCTAATTTAGAAAGAATATTCAACAGCAAGAGAGATATAAGAGGACGAAACAAAACAAGATGCTAAGTGCATCATGCTCGGCACAAATATCTTTCATTGAACAAAGGAACAACAATGAAGATTCCTTACCTACGTGGGATCAGTCGGACGGAAGTATCCCATAATCATCCCCGTAAATTTTGAATTCATCCTTCTTTAGTGCTAGTTTTCTTTTAGATCGGCGTAGTCCCCCATGTGCCTTCGTTAGACCTTCCAGAACCGTTGCTTTGCGCTTTGAACGTCGTCGAACCATTCTACAGTCAATTTTCTTTTCTTTTTCCTTATTCCACTTTCCTTTTCGGAATTTGACATGTACTTTCCACTAATAGATTGATGATGCGATTCCTCACTGATATACTTCGCAGGAGGGATAAGAGAAGAAGGGTACTTTATGGGTGCGTTGAGCTTTTTATGTCGTCGCCGCCGTCGCCGTCGTTTTTCTTGATGTTGATTTTGCAAGCTTTTTCCGTTTTCGAACACTGCTTAGAGTCAACAGCGAACAGTGACAATGCAGCATTACTGTACGTCCCCGTACCGTAGTATTGCGCACAGTACTTTTTGAGTTTTGGAAACGACGTACAGAGATAGGAAAAATAACCAGACAAGCAGCTACTTCATACCTTGCAAATTGCAATATCCCACAAATATGATAGCCTTGTACCTCAACAAGCCCTGGCATCATTCTCAAAAGTATTGCAGAGAAGAACTGTCAAGGTAGGATGAGACATGACGTGAAAAAGGAAAGATTCACCCCAACACATCACGATCATCATCGCCACTGTACAAAACTCTCTGGGTACACCAAGATAACCCGGTAACAAAGACGCAACAACTCACCACCAAACAGAACATAGTACAGCAACTCACAACAACAATTGGACATGCCCAAACCATGATGTCAATGGGCAGAAGACACTCCCACCATAATCAAACATCAACAAACAACCCAACTCAGCAAAAGCACTCCCACCATGCTAACACGCTCACAAACCAAGCAAAAGCACCCCCACTGCACCAGGACAATACAAACAAGTGCCCAATGCAAAATAATGACAATCGCTAAATAGAATGGAAAATTTGCCAAACAAATAAACAGCAGATGGATCTCACCTCATCAATCTGCAACCACAAAGACCAAACCACAAAACAAACACAAACACCCTGACGCCCCCTGTCACAAAACAGCACCCAACAAAAGCAAACAAACAGCAACAAAGAAATGCCCCAAAAAAAGAACAACAAGACCAACAACTCAATGAATTCAGCAATTACCACCAACAAAAGACAAATTTAGGCAATGTAACCCAGAAAAGGGACACTCTGACACCACATCACCCCAGAAACAAACAACAAAGCGAAAACACGCAGAACAACAACAATCAACTGCAGCAAAATGCTCACAAAGTAAAATTTGTACAAACCAAATTCTCCCAAAGCTTACACACTGTCAGCATGCCAGCCCTTGCCCTTGCTCCTGTAGTCTGTGATGCCATCGTCACCATCCTAAAGGATCATCCCCCACAACCTGGGACTTGTGTACCAAGCAGCAATCCTTGACAACAACAGGGTTTCACCAGTCTTTGCCCTGGGACACAGCCAAAACATACTCCATGTCATTGATCTACACCCAGCCAACTGCAAGGTCCTCACAATCCAATGTCAGGAAGCACTTACTAACCCTGACAACAGGAAGTGCCTACAAATCACTGGCCCCAACACAACCAAACAAGCCCTAAACAAAAACCCAATCCCCTTCCTCAAATCCCATACAACCACAAAAGCAAAAAACAAGAGACTCCTAGGACACATCCCATCCTCCCTCCTAGAGTTCTATTGCACCAACCAACTAGTACCCACTCATCTGAACAAATGTCACAACAACCTCATTAGGGAGAAATCAATCACCGAATCTCTGCAACTGCAAAATGGCTCCTAGCAGCATGCACACGCAAAAAAGAGGACCCAGCAACCAGCAACCTCCTACTCAATGAGTCACCCCAGCTAACCAACCAACACCACTACCTGTACCAAACGCCACCGGAACCCACCCACAACCAATTCCAAACACCAGCCACCACCCTGCAAAGAAACATTGCACCACCAACAATCAGCCCAAACCACCACAACATACACATCATACTAGTAGAAGACTCCACCAACTGCTTGCAAACACAACAGCCACCCCAATACCTGAAGAAAACACCAGCCAAATGAACCTATATGCCTCCATTATCAATGCACCTAAACCTACCAAACCAACCCAACAACCAATGACTAACATACAACTCATCCACATTGCACAAGGGTGGTCAGGAATGCCAATCTCCCACCAGCTCCAGACCTTCCACACCATCACCAACAATGCATGGGAACAAATCCTAAAAAACGCAAAACAAAAGTAGAACACTTCTTCACAAACCCCTTAACAATTTAATTCCTCAAACTCCAAGGACACCTAGTGCATGACTGGACAACAAACGTTGCCAAGTTCTGTTTCACACCTGACCCCCACATGTCAGGACGCAATGGCCTAGGACCCATGGCATACATCACACAAACCACCAAAGAAATTGCTGCTACAGAACACCAATGCCACCTTAACACTGAAGCCATGACAATCAGCACCGCTGACTTCCTCAGAGCCAAATTAAACAGACCGATCATACCACAAGCAGTGGATGAGGTAATCAACGTCATAGACAACCAAACACAAATCCTCACAAAACAATAAATGCTGGTATTGCACAATCTACCACGATACTGTCAACTTCAAAGTACACAACAAACCAAACTCAGGGAAGCAAAAAAAGGCAGATTGGACATAATATCAATTTGATCCAAAATGTACAGCTAGAAAGTCAAGGCTTCTGGTTTCAAACAGGCAAAATAGTTTCTTGGCAGAGGACAGGGAGGTGGATTTTTTTGCTTTGGCAGGGGGTGTCACCATGGTGGTTCAGATCCCAGATTGTTCAGGTATGGATCTATGTAGGAATCAGTAGGAATTCCGGGTGATAATTTTCAGAACCAAAGTGTAATTTTGGGCGTGTGAACATGCCTTTTGAAAATAATATACCATCATCATCACTCTCATCTAGTATTCTTAATATTTGCTTGAAAATATTGTAGTACATGTACAGTACCATTCCCACCAGCAGTCTATGAACTACGGTATCCAAAAATACAGAAGAGGGCTTTCATCAATTGCAGCTTTGTTGTATCACAGGCATTTTAGCCTGACATGGAATCACATCGGGGTATAGCAAAAGTAGTAAAAAGCTCATACTCACGTGATCTCTTTTCCATTGAGCTTGGTATCTTACAGGACTTCGACTTATCACTCTCTTTAATTTTTCAAAATCATTACGTAGACAGGATTGAAGTAGTTCTTGTTCAGAATCCCCAATGAAAGCACTTGAAAGAACCATGTCCGTATAAACCGATGTCCTCGATGTGTTTGTCGCAACAAGCATAAACGGGAGGAGACCAGTTTTGGGATCTCTGATACGCAAGCTGTCAGGATAGAGTCTTACTAATGCCAATACATCTTTTTCTAGCAAGCGACCACTGTCCAACGCATAGTGAAGGGGGAGTCGTCCTTGATCATCAGCAACCTTTACTCCATTCGGATTTTCTTCTAACAATATTTGTACCAGGCTCTTATGATCTGTTGCTTGAAGATAAGATGGAACAAACTTATACGACACTGGCGGGCTTTGCACGGCGTAGTGGATTGGGAGCATACCATTTTCATCAAAAGTAAATGCATTTCCGTCAAAACCAAATAACTCGTTGTATCCGGCAGATTGAAGAAGTCGCAAGAGCATAGGCGGGCAACGAGGGATTCTGCAAAGGTGATGAATTGAATGAAAACGACTTTTCAACATATCCGTTTCGTGATCTTCATCTAGTGCTGCGGAAGCCATCAACAACGAGAATTTTAAGAACCGATAAGGAGTAATGACGGCCATCCAGGAATAGTCGTCATCTTTGATGTAGTCGATGAAGTTTGCGCCTTCCATTATTGAAATAGCCCAACGGAATCTCTACATTATAAATGACGGTTCAATTATGCAATACTGAACCAGTGAGAAAATTACAAAAGCGGAACACAACACCTTCCTATAAGATAACGATTCACCATAGACTTCATGTGACACTCACAAGTGTATTCTTCCACAACAAAGATATTGGGTTGTCCCCATTCACGTCATCTTTGAATGCAACAGTAGGATTCGCCTTGATAAGGGTTCTCAACAATTCTTCTTTGATCGTCAAATTCTGCCCCGTCACGATATGGAGTGGATAACTGCCGCATGCCATAGGAATTGACGCCAGTGAGCAGATATTTGCCTTACTGCTTGAACCAATTAGTTTTTTCGGAACGGGAGACCAGTCGAGGAGCAGCTTCGCTATTTTTCCAACGTGCAAAGAATTTCGGTAAACTAGAAGATGCAATACCGAAACACCCTCGATCACCTCATCGGATTTCGAGTTATTTCTTGTGGCAATATCGTCATCACCCAGTTTTTCTTCTCTCGTAACAAACCATTCTCTATTGTAACTAGATTGATCTAGAAATCTACCAATCGATTCCTCAGTTATATGGTACGAAGTAAGCAAATAATTGAGGGCTGCTCTGTGCTCCACCTCACCGTATTCTTGTATGAAATAGAAATCCTTAGTCGTATCCGCACCGATGTTTTCAAGTTTCTGTCGAATCGTCGAATTCAATTGAGCGTTGGATTTTGCTCTGCGGCAGACTTGGTCGAGGTCTCTCTTCGAAGTATCCATTCACTTTTCTCCACAATAATTTCTACTTTCCCTTGGAATCTTAGTATCGAGGAAACGGGACAGCCGCAGTGTAAAAATTGTCTGAAATAATTTTAGAATTACCAGTACGATGAAGTGATCGAAAGAAAGAATTTTCAAGAATTGGGACCTTCAATTCGTTTCCATCATCATTACTCATGCTGTCMCGCAAGATTACTCGTATGGTACGAGTAATATCATCACTTCGACGTTCTTGATGATAGATTGAGTACGATTACTGGTACCTACCGGTACGTACTGTAGTATCGTTCCTTCCGCTACCATACCGTACATGTTATCGAATTTGGATCATTGTTTTTACTGACGCCAAACCGGTAGATATTTGTGTGTTTTGGTTTCTCAAAAAGTGTGATGCGTCAACATCAGTTCTGGTCAAAATGTCATCAATTAACACAAAAGTTGACACTTTCAATCAAAGAAAGAGGAGGCATATGTGTTTATTCTGACTTGGTGTTTCGATGACCTGACAAATGTAAACACTGATCCACGTCATCCACTACAAGTACTGACCTTCGCCCCGTGCTTCCCTGATATACCTAATGGTACCTACCGTACATACAGTTTGTTATGTGCTTTAATACTACCTCTAGAAGTACTAGGCGTTTCGTAACAGTGGGTGATTCCCGATATTATAGAAATGCTAAATTTGATAGACGGACGGACCAAAAATCTGGCACATTTTGTAATAGATTTAGCATTTTTAGAATGGGTCAACCGACCCCTGCAATGAATACGTACGTACCGATGAATCGTTACGTACGATACGAAGCTCCGAAGAAAGGAATGAA